CGCCGCTCGCTTCCCGGCTGCTGGGGCAGGTGGACGCCGCGTCAGCCGCTGGGACTCGCGGGAGCGGAGGTGCCGGAGTCACGTCCGCCTCGGCCGGCCGCTCTCACCTGATCGTCTTCACCGCGGCCGGACGGGCGTGGACCCGAAGCTGGACTTTGGTCATGCCCGCGCCGCCGGGCCGGGGTGTCTCCTGGCCAAGAGCCTGCGGGGGGTGGGTTTCTGCCTTTATATTCTGTCCGGTGGGCGACGGGCTCCATCCCCCGCGCGCGGTGCTCGTCTTCCAGGTGACAGCTGCCACCGGCGCCGTGGAGGGACTAGGGGAACGGAAATTGTCCACCGCTCCTCCGCGCCGACCCCGGAATTAAAGGCGCAGCGCGCCGCTGCTGCTGCGCTCCCGGTTGCTAGGTGGGTGTGTTCCCCGGGGATGCCGCGGTCGGCTGGAGAGGCGTGGATTTTTATTTCTTTAAGAAATGTTTAACCACCCCAAAATACCGGGTGATGATTTAAAAGGAATGATTTTTTTTAAAGACTCGCAATACCTCTCCAATTTTCGACTGCGTTTCATGCGGGAAAAAGGCTTCGTGCAGTTTACAGTAAAACAATCCGCTGTTCCTGGCAGTGTACGTTACTCGAGGTTCAGAAGAGACGTTTTAAAAATCAGTTTTCTCGTGATAAAATAATACATTTTCACGTAGAATTTTGAGAATAAAACCACAGGAAAACATAAAGAAGGAAAAATAACACCCGAATTCACCATTAACAGTTTGAAATATTTTCTTCCTCTCATCCCCAAGCATATGTATACACACTTTAAAATGAAAGTTGGAATTTCTATGTTTTATACACCTCATTTACCCTAAAGATATTTATCGAGCACCTGGTTAGTGCCAGGACCTTTTCAGGCTGTGATACACCAGTTAGCAAAACAGATAAAAACCCCTGACCTAGTGGAACTCGTGTATTGGGGGGAGGGGGGGAGCAAAAGTAATATGATGAATCTGAAAACTGTATAATATGCTAGAGAAATACTATGGAAAAAACAGAGGAGGGTAAAAATGAGTAGGAACAGGTTGCAAGTTTGAATCGGGAGGTCCAGGTAGGATTCATTGTGAAGGTGACGATTAAGCCAGGACTTCAAGGAGATCAGAGAGTTATGCAGATAGATAAAAGTCTGCCCAGCAGAGGGAACCACCAGGACAAACGTGGGATCAGTTTCTTAATTTACAAATGCAATACTACAAATATATGACAAATATATAACAAGAGGCAGTGTATTATAGTAGTTAAAAGAACAAGGCTCTGGTATCAAAATTCCATACCTGAATCCTGGCTTTGTCTTGAGCAAATTGCTTGACCTCTCTTTGCATCAGTTTTCTTATCTGTAAAGGGTTTTTTTTTTTTTTTTTCCTAAAAAGATGACCGGTAAGGGGATCTTAACCCTTGGCTTGGTGTTGTCAGCACCACGCTCAGCCAGTGAGCCAACCGGCCATCCCTACATGGGATCCGAACCCATGGCCTTGGTGTTATCAGCACCACACTCTCCCGAGTGAGCCTGGAAATAGTACTTACCTCATCAGGTTGTTGTGAGGATTAAGTGAGAAAAGAAACAGAAAACTTAGAACAAAGCTTGGCACACAATAATCAAATTATTATTAGTATAGCCGATATGATTACTATTACTCACTGAAAAGAAAAAGAGAATAGTAAAATGTAATGGGTCCCCTTTCCCCAATCCCAATCCCCAGAGGCAATTTCTGTCTCCAGCCCTGTCTCCAGGATACATACCAGTTAAATTTTTTCCTCCCTCACTTTATGTTACAGTATATTGTGAGCATTTCCCCAATGACAGTAATTATTCTTCAAAAAGATATAATTTTTGATGATAGCACCAAATAAATGTAGTATTATACATTGTTTTCTTATTCTTGATGGTCTGTATTGTTTCTAGTTTTTAATTCTTATAAATGGTGCTGCTTTATATAAAACTTTGTGCACCTCTTTGATTAACTCCTTAGGATAGAATCCTACTAGGTCAAAGGGAATTATTTTAAGACTCTTGAAACTTTATTGCTAAATTGTTTCCCAGAAAAGTTACAGCCCCAGGAAAGTACCCTGTTTTTCCCTCACTGGTATTGAGTAGTATCTTTTAGCTAATTTATTTAGTTTGGGGGGGCAGCTGGACCTTGGTGTTACCAGCACTACACTCTAATCAACTGAGCTAACCGGCCAGCCCGAGTAGTATCTTTTAGTTTGTCAATTTGAAACACAGAAAGTCATATCTCACTTTAATTTGTGTTTGTTTTATTAAAGTTAAATTTTTCCCTCTTATTTATTTTCTATTTGGATTTGTTCTTTTGTGAATTGCATTTCCCCCTTTTACCCATTTATTAATATTTTTCTTGTTGGTATGTAGTTATTAACCCTTTGTTATATGTGTTATATTTTCCAGTTTTTGTCTGTCTTTTACTTTTGTTTTCTGATGACACTTTCATTTTTAGACAACTAGTTTTTAATTGTAAATATTGTATCCTTTTAGCTTAAGAATGTAAGTGTGAAATAAGAAATATGCCTCACATTTAAAGGAGAACTTTTAGGATCAATATACCCTGTAGTATTAAACAATCTACACCAGGACAATGCCCTTGGAAGAAGTCCTTGTGTTTTTAACATACGATGATACTGTAGTCAGCCATCATTTTTGTCTAAATATTACCCTTTAAATACACCTCCAGTCCCACCCCTGTAAAGCCTTCTGCAACTGCCCCCTAGTGTATCATGTTCTGCCCTTCTATAATTTATTTCAGCAAACATCTATTGAATATCTTCAGGTGGAAGGTAGTGACCAGGTTCTCTGGGAAGAAGACACACCTGCCTTTGAAGAGTTTACTGTCTAGTGGAGGAGAGAAAAATGTACAATTAATCATGTTACATAGCCAAATGAAATGAATGCTCCAGGTGCTTACCAGAGTGTTGATTCTAAGGGGTAGTGGGGGAAGCTGGGAAGTCTTCAAGAGGCAGGCAGTGAGAACAGGATAGACAAAGGCCTGGTAGTGGGACTGTGAAAGCTGAATTCAGTCAGGGCAAACAGTGTCTAGCCTATTTGCAGTTTAGGGTGTGTGTCGGGGATACAGAAGAAGGTAATGTTGGAAAAGTAATCTGCGGTCATGGGTGGAGGACCTTAAATGCTAGTTTGGATTTTATCCTGTTTGCATAGAATGCCAGCAAAAACTTATTTTCTTTTTAAAATGTATGTTTAATTATTTTCTGATTATAAAATTGATAATGATGTTTTCTCAGTTCTCAATAGTTTCCAAAATATAAAAAAGAACAGATCACATGTTAGACAGCCACTGTTAGTATTTTTCAGTTTATACCGTGAGGACTTTTTCTCTATACATCCATAGATATACAAGTATACACAACCATACATACCATTCTATACAGATGGGATTAGACCACACATTGTTTTATAACCCATACTTCTTCTCTGACTGCTGTAACCAATGCTGGTGTGGTGAATGGTGGTGGTTGTGGGGGAGGCCCTGAGGAGGTGATGGCAGGGTCCCTGTGGAATATAGTGAGGGTCATCGAGCTGGGGCAGTGGGATGGGTACCAAAGAGATTTCAGAAGCAGAACTTGCATTATATTGTCTTGTTTTAATCTTTAAAGTCACATCCCTTTGTTGTGATTTTCATATCAGTAGCTACTATTTACGTATATTTTTTCTTAGCTTTTTCAGGGCAAATTGCTGGGTCCCTTGAAAAATCATTTCTATGATCTCATTGGTAGTGGAGCCTTAATCAACTTGGACTTTTGTTACTGCCCCCTCTCTCCAAGGGGAGGAAGGGGAGGACTCCCTTGTTATAGATCATTATTGATTTATATAATTTGAACTCATTTTGCCTATGATCACCGAGAACAGACAAGGAGTTGAACACTGGTTGAACAGGAATTGCTGGTACAAGCAAAGTTTATTGACAGTGCTTAACAGGCTTCAGGCTCTGAGCTACACAAAGAAAGTTGCCCAAGGCACAGTTAATAATGAGTTGAGCCCCCACAAATTCCAGAGTACCTGCTTGTGCTTATTTACCATGCAAAGTTAGAACACCAATTATTTAAAATTGATGTTCTGAGTGTTTAATAAATAAAGCAGGGAAAAACTCCTCATAAAAAAGTTGGCTTAAACCTTTATACTTGTGCATCTGAACACACTTTGCTCTAATATTTTGATTGATTAGTCTATATAGCTTGAGCAAACATGAGGGCAAGGCTGCCAATGACATCCTGTTCCCCAGGCTGCTTTTTAATTTTGGTGCCCTGATGCCAGTGAGGCTGTTGAATCAATTCTTCCAGTGACCCAGCAGTTTGTCTATAAACATTAGGAAAATCGAATATAAAATGTCTATTTATAGCTAGGGTAAAATTCCATAATGTGTCTCGAACATAGAGAATGCAATAGGAAGGCTATTTGTTCTTATCTCAGTATCTTAAATTTGAAGAAGGTCAGGGTAGAAAACCTTCTGTAGTTTTAAAAGCCACATTATTAAATAAATATAAAATAAAAAATTTTCCATAATCGTATTATATTATGTTATTTTATATTGCCTATTCCAACACACGCTGCCCTCTGAACCCCACGCTAGGCCCCACTGAGAGCCATAGTGGATGCTTTATGTGTGCGACTGTCATGCCTGTCATGGCAGTGCAAACCATCCCCTTCCTTTGATCCTGGTCCATCACGGTCTGCCACCTCTGCCCCCTGGTGTTGCACCCATGCATCATCAGTAAAGAAGAGGAGTGTCGTAGGCCCCAATAGGCAGGAGCTCCAGGGACTTCAGGGGGATGGGCTGCCTAGCGGTGGCTATAAAGGGACTTTGCCCAGATATCAAGCTGTTGCAGTCACGACTTCCCAAACAAATCATGTTTTGTTCTTGCTTACCAGCCCGGGGCCTCTTCTTTCTCGTGCCTGCTGTTTGTTAAGCCCAGTCCTCTCTGAGGTCAAAGGGACTTTATTTCTAAATCTTAGTGTCAAATTTCTCATCATATGCCTCTGTTGTAAACTGAGTTTTTGTATCTGTGATTTATTTTTCAGGCTGCCTCTCTGATTCCTCAGACCATTGTTTGGTTGCTAGGTAGGGAACCAGGAGACCTGGTCTACGGAGACTTGGAAAACTGTGTCCTGGCTAGGTGAATCTCGAGTAGTTGCTACACTTTGCTATACTTCTTTAGTCATTCTTCTCAGCCTGTTTTATTCTTACACATGTTTTGGTTTAAAATATTCTACATGCCCCCACCCCCTTTCCCAGGGACATTCTGGGCTCAGTTTTTCTTTCACATGGATCAGTGTTTGAGTTAGGAAGGGCCCAATTTGAGGGGCCTGCAAAGTATTATTTTAACCATTTCCTTAATTGTGGAGTCCCTGCATGGTTAGAGTGGATGAGTCAGCAACTCAGAGGCCAGACTTCCATTCTATTATGACTACCCTTTAAGATGGCACCCAATGTTTGGAAGTGTAAAACCCACTAACAGCATTCAACCTAGAAACCTTGTCCTGGCTTTAAAGAT